GAGCAAATTACAAAAAAAAATCTGCAATTCCGACATATTTATCGAAAATAGTGTTTGGGCGCTACTGATTTATCAGTTTAAAATGTCAAAATTGTCAAAGTGACTGCAAGAACCGGCAAGAACTTACAGGACCGTTTCATCATGCGCAAATTTGCAGGCGACTTGCAAATGCATTCTGCTTCTGTTATACAAAAAGTAAGACTTGCAGGTCCTACATTTGTATCTTGCTGTTGCAGAGCTTCTGTAATTCACTCGGTAATTCACTACTTAGTACGCAATTAGTTCTGCGCAGTTCCCACTGGTTCGCGATCAGTTCGGAAAACGATAACTTGAAAACACCTCTTGCTAGCAGTTTCACACGTCCGCAAGCTTGAACGCGCCTTGTCTAAAACAAAAACTGACACAATTTTGGCATTAAAGGCTTGTTGAAAACGTCAAATTTTGATGCATTAAAAGGTGCGTTCAAAAATTTGTGCCAATTCCAATGACCGCAACTGTACAGGGTGATCCAGTATAAAGTGAACACCCCCTACCTTTTCGCTAAAAAAATTTTTTTGAAAAAATCAAGATAGCCATTTGGTGTATTTTGTTTCTAGGTGTTTGAGAATGTTTTTCGAAATTTAATTAGATTTTTCGTTAAAGCCCTGTGACCAAAAAAGTTATTTTTTTAAATAGAATAACCTATATTTAAATCAATTTTTTAAACGTCCCTATTTTTCTCATTTCAAATATATAGTTGGTTTATGTTTATTCTAAAAATTTGCGATATATTTTCACTTCAAAATTCACATAAAAATAGCCGAAAAGGTATCATAAAACATAATCTCCAGCAGCTTTATTAAAGGTAAAATTATTTAGATTTACCTTGATACCTTTTCGGCTATTTTTATTTGAATTTTGTATTTTGTTTCAAGGAATTTGAAAACGTTTTATGAAATTTAATTGGATTTTTCGTTAAAGCGCTGTGACGACAAAAGTAATTTTTTTTAAATGGAATAACCTATATTTAAATCCATTTCTTAAACGCCCTTATTTGTCTCATTTCAAATATATATAGTTTGTTTATCTTTATTTTAGTAATTTGGAATATATTCTCACTTAAGAATCTTAAGATTCAAATAGAAATAGCCGAAAAGGTATCAAGGTAAACCTAAATAATTTTACCTTTAATAAAACTACTGGTTATTATGTTTTATGCTACCTTTTCGGCTATTTTTATGTGAATTTTGAAGTGAGAATATATCGCAAATTACTAAAATAAAGATAAACAAACTATATATTTGAAATGAGGAAAATGGGGGCGTTCAAAAAATTTTTTTGAATATAGGTTATTCCATTTAAAAAAATTACTTTTGGCGTCACAGCGCTTCAACGAAAAATCTAATTAAATTTCAAAAAACGTTTCCAAAGAAACAAAATACATTAAATGGCTATCTTGATTTTTTCAAAAAAATTTTTTTTAGCGAAAAGGTAGGGGGTGTTCACTTTATACTGGATCACCCTGTACATACATATCATATAAGGACACTGGACAAAATTAAAATCAAAAGCAAGTTTAGCAAATAGGAATCGGTGGGAGGGGCGGCAAAAATATTTTTTGCACGGGGCGCCGATATGTCTGGAGCCGGCCCTGACAAGCAGTAAGGATACAGAGCATGATGTCTAGCTATAAACTTGTTACTAGCGGAGTACCTCAAGGCTCTGTGCTTGGCCCTCTCTTGTTTACCTTATATACATCTCAATTATCAAATGCGCTTCTGCACTGCACCTCACACTACTATGCAGATGACACACAAATATATTTATCTTTTAATTCTTCGGAAGTGGAACTAGCCTGCTCGAAAATAAATAGAGATCTGAAATCTCTGGTTACAATCTCAAAGAAATATGGTCTAAGTATCAAAATGCAGCCAAATCACGAGTTATGCTTTTCGGTAGAACAGTGGCGCGGAATACTACGCAAACTAAGGGTGGGTTCCGTTGTCAACCTTGATTACGGTTACACGTTCCGTAATGTCTGGTTCTTGAAAAACCGGTCTATACGGAACGCGGTTGGTTATGTCAAACATGTCACCAAGGCAACCGGCGGCGATTCTGCGATTGGAAAAGCGTTCCGTATGAAACCGAAATTTTCAACAACCGCTGTCAATCGTTGTCAACCGCTGTCAACCGCTGTTGTACCGACCGGTTAACCAGGTTAGACAACGGAACCCACCCTAAATTAAATATTTTAATTGTCGATCAGAGACTATCACTTACTAATGTGACAAAAAATTTAGGTCTTATGTTGGACAATAATCTAAATTTTGACCAACACGCAAACCTTATCATAAAAAAAGCATTTGGTACTCTAAAATGTTTATATCCAAATCGACATTTTTTTACGAGGCAAATTCGGATAATGCTATGCGAATCCTTAGTTTTGTCGCATCTTAATTATGGCGATGTAGTGTATGGGCCTAATTTACGGCGTGTTGACGCGAGAAGAATTCAACTCATACAGAATGCCTGTGTGAGGGTTATATGCGGCCTAAGAAAGGGTAGTCGTGTGTCAGGGCCACGTAAAGATCTTGGCTGGCTTAACATGGAAGATCGTAGAGAGCTTCATGTGTTGGTTTTTTATCATAAGATTATAACAAAAAAAGAACCTACATATCTATACAGGGTGTCCAAGATAGAGATTGCCCACATATTCTGGGCAATCTCTCGGATTCAGATAGAACACAAAAAAATAACATGACAACTTCCTATAAAAAAAAATTCCTACGGCCCCTCCTACGAAGTTACGCGCCCCTAAAGGACGTCTCTGAAAATCGGTTTTTTGTTGATGAACTTTCAAAATACTTTGGGTAATTTTTTTTCTTTCAATATTATGGATACTAGATAAGACTCCTTAAAATGGACCCTCTCAAACACACTTGACCAATCTAGTTTGCCAGGGACGGACTAGCTTTAACGCAATAATGACACTAAGGAAATATTAGTAGAAAGGATTAATTTTCACTGTCGCGAAATAAGGGCTAATATTGAAGCATTGTCGAGAGTAGAACAATCTTTCATTAAAATAGGCATGGATTGCATAAGATTAGAAGGATCTCATGTTGAGTCGACATAAAAAATTATTTAATAAAAAACCATTAATACACAAAGACAGATTTTTCTCGAAACCAGCTCATTTTTTCGACATCGAATAAGAGTACCTTTTTTCTAGTTCAAGGTTGAAACTATCTAAAAATATTATTGCTATGCCTATATCATACAGGGTGTGAAAAAAATTAGCATTATTGTATTAAAGCTAGTCCGTCCCTGGCAAACTAGATTGGCCAAGTGTGTTTAAAAGGATCCATTTTGAGGGGTCTTATCTAGTATCCATCATATTAAAAGAAAAAAAAATACACAAAGTATTTCGAAAGTTATCAAAACCGATTTTCAGAGACGTCCTTTAGGGGCACGTAACTTCGTAGGGGGGGCCGTAGGAATTTTTTTTTATGGGAAGTTGTCTTGTTATTTTTTTGTATTCTATCTGAAACCGAAAGATTGCCCACATATTCTGGGACACCCTGTATAATAAACTGAGGTATAGAACCTCTATCCACAATATCAACGTCCGCCGAAAAAATGATCTTGCTATACCTAGACATTTCACGACACAATTTCGAGGCTCCTTCTCATATAATGCTCCCACACGATATAATAAAATTTCTGCAGGCTTAAAAAATCTAAATGTAACTTCGTTTAAGCGTAGGGTAAAATCAATGCTACTTAGCAGAAATTAGTTTAAAGCTGACTATAGGTATATACATATATGTATGGGTAGGTACCTAATAGTAATAATATATTTAGATCCAATTATTTTTATTTTTATTATTTTCTTATTTTTCTAATTTTAAGTTTGGGACACTCCTGTTATAATATGTTTCACTCTGGAGTGTGTTTACTGTATCGTTGAATAGCTCTAAGATATGGAAAGCATTATATACTGTTTATTTTTTATTTTTTTCGAATTGTTGTTACCATTTTTCGTGGTCACTTATATATACATTTTGGTATAATGTGTGAATATTATGAAAATGTCTAGTTATATTCAGATAGATAATTTATTGTTATAATTATTATTAAATTTCTGATAATATTAAAATATTTTTTGTAACTGAGGGCTGAGTGTAAGGTAAGAGCGCTGCTCACTGCTGCGTCAGATGAGTGCGAACTCTGCCTTTTGTCGATTGCTGGTTATTTTTATTTTACTCTTCACTCTGTTCCTGTATCCTGTATATTAACCAACGATTATGGCAATAAAAGCATTTATTATTATTATTATTATTATTATTATTATTATTATTATTATTATTATTATTATTATATCTAATGGTATCCATTGCATTAGTTCTGAGTTCCATCTGCGTTCTACGGTGTTCTGACAAACTTCATTTTAGATAAAGTAGGTGTCTTTTCATGCTAGTGGTGGAATCTTCTCGTTCTCTATAGGATGAAAGTTTGCCAAAATACACTCTGGTTGGTAGCTTTTATCAAGTTTCGGCAGTACCTATCTATCCTCGGTAGATCGTTGACTTTTTCCAGAGAGACATTTACAATGGTGACTCTTCTTTCTTCGGCGTTATTTTTCATCACCTTTGTTTTCTTCGTGGCTCATATTCATCTTCAGGCCCATTTTTACAATGCTCTCGCCAATTAACTACAATATGTATTCAATAGAAGGGGATTTTTCCCATTTGAAATAGCATACACACATGGAGAATTTTCGAACAGGAATTGTGAACGATCTAATATCCGACGTTTTTGAGAAAATCTGATGAGTAGATCTACAATTACATATCATAAAAATTGTTTTACATTACTGAATCAGTATAGGTACTGAAAATAATATCGGAATGGCGTCCAGTAAATTCGGTACTGACAGTTGATATCGGAACATAGCCTATATCTACATCTTTATCCACACATAATGCTACGTATGTCTCTCTCTGTTACCTAGAATAGAAGAGCAAAATAAAACAAACATCTAAACCTCTCTCAACAAAATGATCTGTCAAACAAAAATAATGTGGTTATGGGTTGTAGGTAATAAACTGTAAATACAAAAAATATTTCTACTTATGGTAATTTTACCAATTTTTCATTTTAATTTTTCTTAAATTCGGTAACATGATAGTAACATTCTTTATCGTATTCCAGATTTCTCTGGTTTTAACACGTTTTTACAAAAAAATGGCATCGGTAATTCCTGCAGTTACGAAAATATCATCCAGAGTAACCAGGGTGTTGGGATGCAATCCTAGCCTGATGACTCTGCAAGGAACTAATACTTATATTGTTGGAACAGGAAAAAGGTAAGAATACAGTTGATTTTTCTGTTAAAATGCCCTTAATAAATTACTTTCACTATTTCAGGAGAATTTTAATTGATACTGGCGATAGTGATGTCCCTCAGTACATTAACCATCTTAGAAGTGTGCTTAAATATGAAAATATTGACTTAGCTCATATTTTTCTTACTCATTGGCATCATGACCATGTTGGAGGCCTCAATGACATTATGGAGGATTTACCTGAGTTTACTGGTAAGTTTCATTATTTTCAAGGATTTGCTTTTGTCCAAACCCCATTTGAATTTGGAATTCACTACTTATAGCTTTGTGTTTGCCTCTAACCTAACTTTAATAGAGAACTAGGCTGAGACGCATTCAGAACCATAGATTCTCAAACTATTTCAAGGGTCAATAATGTACAAAATGAGACTTCATGAGAGTGCATTCTACATCCCTCAGCCTATAAATAGCATGAATAATATAACTATTCTAATAGTACACCTATATTACCTAGTAGACAAGAAATATTAAACTAATTTTTATTTTCTTCTATAGAAAACTGTGAAGTCTGGAAATTCCCATGCAAAGAAGACAACAATGTATACAATGCCTTCAAAGACAATCAAGAATTTTCAGTAGAAGGAGCAACCTTAAGAGTTTTACACACTCCAGGCCATACCACTGATCATGTAGTCTTGCATTTGCTTGAAGACAATGCCTTATTTAGTGGTGATTGTATTTTGGGCGAAGGCACTGCTGTTTTTGAAGATTTATTCGACTATATGGAATCGTTAAGGACGATTCTGAATGCCAAACCTGCAGTTATTTATCCGGGACATGGAAATATTATCAATAATGCTTCAGAGAAAATCCAATTCTATTTGAACCATCGCTTAGAGAGAGAACAGCAAATAATGGACATCTTAAGCAATAATTGTCAAAGGACTTTTACTGGAAATGATTTGGTTGAAATGATTTATATAGGTTTACCAAAACAATTGTTCAAGGCTGCAGAATGCAATGTTAACCATCACTTGCAAAAGCTCCTGAAAGAAGACAAAGTGGTTCAAGTTAATGGAATGTGGCAGTTTAAGGAAGAATTGATTTGTTGAAGTATTTGAAACAACCAAGGAGCTTTTTTGTGATATTACTGTTTAGGATTGTTATACCTAATTTGATGTTACAGTATTGAGATTTAAGTTTCATATTTGGGTCATAGCGCCCTAATTTGTAGGTATATAAAAAAAAACTAGTTATTTGACTGCTAATTAGCTTAATTTTATTGTATTTAGTTCTAGATTTTATATTCAATAATTATTATAATCTCATAATAAATTGCATGTACACTACTTATATTACAAAATACTGTGACGATTTTCAAACATCACTTGCATTTATCAATTATTGGTTGCCAAAATTTCTTTCAGGATATCACTGCACTGGTTTAATGCCCAATTGTTTATGTAAAGCAGGTACAGAATCATCATACTGTGCCTGAAAGAAATTACCAGACTCTAACTCCAAGCCATATTTTTCAGCGAAGTTTTGTGTTGAAAATAGAGGTCTGTCTCCAATCTCTGTAGCGCTGACAACTGTTTCATTGAAATTAATTTTTCCTCTTGGCTGTTTATACAACACGAACGTGTACCTGTGTAGGCCTGAGCCTTTCGGCGGTCCTGAGCCAACGTAGGCACTTAAAGTTTGGCCTTTTGTGGTATCAGATCCAGGAATATTGACTACCTGTAAAAAACGTGTTATTGCCGAAAAATTCAAACTTCTGATTTTTACCAGCCAATGTCTGAATTCTCTTCTAATAGGATTAGCTCTGCTAGGCGCATCAGGATCAGTTAAAATCAAAGTATGAAAATCACCATCCTTAGGTTCAAAATTAACTTGCGGTTGTTCTTTGACGTCAATAGGAGCAATTTCGTCTCCTAAATTAACAGTTTTGCCAGATTTTGGGTATTTAATTAACAGTAAGTGTTGTGGAGCGTCTTTCAGGACGTCTGGAACGATTTGGTTTTCGGTAAAAGCCTGTATAAAGAGCAAGGATTTAGAGAAAACTAATTAAAAACGTGCAAAGAATAATTTTAGTAGATACACTTACTAAAGGCACCATTATAAATTATTAAATAATTACAATTTGCACTTTCAATAATATAACAGAAAGCCTTTTTGAATATGCTTTTATTTATACCTCTTCCTTGAATGTGTACCAATAAATAGATACATTTTTTATCTCACCTTTTTTAGATTTACAACATCCTGGGCGTTCGCTAAAATTGCTGTGGTCAAAATAAGGATTAAAATCTGTAAACTCATTCTTGCGCTTGCAAAATACCAACTAAAACCCAGCAAAAATATTGAAATCTTACCATTACTACTAGTCACTATTTTTGGCCTTCACACTTATGTACAGTTGATTTATTAAACTTTCGTTTTTCTTTAGCTTGCTTTTAGGTTCACCGGTTCACCCAAAGCAGAGACCCAAAGATCCCCAGTAAACAATTTTAAATTATATACCTACTAACACTTATGCTGCCACCTACACATCCTGATCAAACTATTCTCGTTTAGAATATACATAGGAAACGGTTATCTAGTTAGTTACTGAGAAATATCAGAGGTGGCAGATGGCACACTGTATTCCAATGTTTTATACAAATTACCATAATTAAATTACATAGTTTCATATTATAAAGGCATAATATCTCAATCAAAGGTTTCGTACAAAAAAAGGCAGCCTTCAAATTATACATAGTATTTTTATTACCCATTTAGAATAACCCCATCCTTATTTATCAATCACGAATCATACCTATGATTCCTATGAAACAAAAAATTACCAACAAAAACGAACGTCGATTGAAAGGCTCTGAAGTGTCTTGTTGATCATGTTTCCCTGTTTTATCGTGGTCTTTGCATCACTATAGAGGGTTTTTACTGCCTTTATTAGTTCTAAATTGATATTGGTTTTTTCCAGTGCTTCCCAAAGCTTTTTCAGCGGAACATTGTCATATGCTTTTTTTAGATCTACAAAGAGTAAATGAAGTTCCTGGTTATACGCTAGTTTTTTTCTATTACCTGGGTCAAACTAAATAAATGGTCTACAGTTGATCTTCCTGCTCTAAAACCGGCCTGTTCTTCTGCCTCACTATCTTTGAACTCGTTCTCTATTCTGGCTTTTATGAGTTTTCCATACACTCTGCTCAGTGTGTTTGTTACTGCAATTCCTCGGTGGTTCTCGCATTTGTTTCTGTCTCCTTTCTTATATATCGTTGTTAAATAGCTTATTTTCCACTCTTCCGGTACTTCATGTTTATCTATGCATGTTTGAAATAGTTTTGTTAAATTTTTGTAGAGTTTATTGGTCCCATACTTTATCAGTTCTCCATATATTTCTCCTGGGCCTGGTGCCCTACCGTTTTTCAAGAAGCTACAGTGTTTTTTAACTTCTTCTTGCATAACTCTTATAGGTGATCCTGCAGTTTTTATGTTTCGTGTCTGTTCCCTTTCTTTTTTAAACTCTGCTCGCTGTTCTGTTAGTAATTCTTCAAAGTACTCTTCCCATTGCTGGGGTGTTATTGTATTGATAATATCCTTAGTTTGTGTTTTCCTCATGTTTTTGAGTAATCTCCAACTTTCTGTATTTCTTTTACCCCCCAGATAAGTATTAATATGCGCACAGTTTCTTTCCCATGACTCGTTTTTTTTTTCTGTAGGTACTATTTTATTCCGTACTCTTGCTTGTGCTTCTTTATACACACTCTGTAAAAAGTCCCGGAACAGTCAATTATTTTGAAAATAGTGCACAATATAAAAAAACTTCCTGTATAAAAGTTGAAGGTCTTGATAAAATCTATTGAAATAGGACTTATGTAATTATACAGGGTGGCCCAAAAAGTTGTGCTACACAAAACTTCATTTTTTTTTAATGGAATGATCCTTTTTTAATTACATTTTCTAATTCCTCTAGAGATTCTAAACAACAATTATGAAAGATATCATATGGCTAAACCCATTAGTTTCAGAAATAATTTGACTTGAAGGACATAAATACGATAAGTACGATATTACCTACATTTTGTATTGTTTCGAGTTGGTTCAAAATGGTAACCAGACCTAACGCCCCTTGATTATTTTCTTTGGGGACATCTGAAAAATAAAGTGTTTGTGACAAAACCTCCAGATCTGAACGAATTGAGAAGAATAATTATTGAAGAATGTGCATCTATTAACTAAGAAATATTACAAAACGTCATCAATAAATTTTATTATAACCTAGCCCATTGTCAAATTGTGGGAGGAGGACATTTTCAGCATTTAATAAAATAACGTCTTACACTTAATTTTATTTCTGTTCTTTCAAAGTTATTGTTCATTTTACTTTACTGCTTGTATTTAATAATTTAGTTATTAATAAAATTTGGACTAAACTTGAGTGAGGTACATTTCATTTAACACAAGTTAAATGTTTTTTTTTTTTCAGGAATTAACGTGAAACATTTTGAAGCAACTCGAAACAATGCAAAATGTAGGTAATATCGTACTTATCGTATTTATGTCCTTCAACTCAAATTATTTCTGAAACTAATGGGTTTAGCCATATGACATGTTTCATAATTGTTGTTAAGAATCTCTGGAGGAATTAGAAAATGTAATTAAAAAAGGATCATTTCATTGAAAAAAATGAAGTTTTGTGTAGCACAACTTTTTGGGCCACCCTGTATAATTACAAAAGTCCTATTTCAATAGATTTTATTAAGACCTTCAACTTTTATACAGGAAGTTTTTTTATATTGGGCACCAATTTCGAAATAATTGACTGTTCCGGGACTTTATACACACTGTGTATATCTCTTTGTCCCGTGTCTTCTTTGAACTTAGATACTGTTGGTATTTCTTCCTTTTATCTGCTATGTCTTTCTCTATTTTTTGATCCCACCAATAGGGTGAGGGCCTTCTTCCGTTTTTTTTTGTATTTGCCTAGGGCTTCAAATGCTGCACTATGAATACTCTCTTTGATATGTTGGTAATGCATTTCTAGGTTTTGGAAGCAGTTTATACTACTTTGTAATTTTTGATCCAATTTCTTCATGTACAACTCCCTTACGCTTTGCTCTTCTAGAGATCAGTGCTCCCAACCTCTCAGATTAATAATTCCCTTGATGGATTCCAAAAATTCCCTATTTTATATATTTTAGAGTTAAAATTCCCTGCATTCAATGTTGCCAATAGGCCTTTTCGGAAACACTGATCCGATTAACTGGATCACTGGATCAGCTGATGTAATTTGTCTTTTTGGTCATTGGGTTAGTCGGATCAGTGTTTCCGAAAAGCCTTACGAGTACATCTAAGTAAATGCCAAATGACTTTACCTATATCAAAACCAAAAATATCCTTTCTATTGTGTATGTAATAAAACAAAAAATTGAGTCGTTTAGAAAACCCAAAATATAATTAAACGTAAACAAATTTATAAACATCTAAACGAAAAAATAAAGGAAAACATGAATTTAACACAACTTCTATCTTCATCGGTGCCAAACTTCTATTTCTCAAAAATTCCCTCATTTCGACGATTTTATAAAAAAAATCCCTTTTCCCTTTTGGGTGCCAAAATTCCCTAAAAACGGAAAATTCCCTGCAGTTGGGAACACTGCTAGAGATTTTAGGTTGTATCTCTCAGGCACAATTTTGTCTTCTTGTTTTTCCATTGCATTTTCTTTTGCGGTGTTTCTGCCCGGGATAAAGATTTTTGTTTCCAGGAGTGCGTTCAAAGACGGCAATGCTAATGCCAAAACCTACTATTCCCCTTCTACCGGCGATGCCAAATCTGGTGTGAATTTTCTGGAACGCCAAATACTGTTTGTCAATTAGGCAATCCAAACCACGTGACATTCAAGATGGCGTGGCGACCATACATGGACCAAAAAACACAAAAAAATATCTAGTTTCTGCCCGACTTAATAGTTTACGTACTTAGTTAACAAATATTTTATTGAATAATCAAAATCAAAGCTGCAAACAAACAAAATAATTGAAATATGCATGAAAACACATATTCAAAACTAACATGCTGGCCGCTACGCCATATTGAATTTGGTCTGATCCAATCAAAATTCGTATAACCATATCTAGACTCAGTTGAAATAGCCTCCAAAAGTTACTTTACCGCGGCCAATTTGGAACGTGTAAAGCCAACCGTTTTTGGCACGCTAGAGCCGAACTTGAACGCAATATGCCAAATTTGGCTCGGCTTTAGCCGTTTTTGAACGCAGCCCAGGAGGTAGTGATCGCTACCACAGGTCGCTCCCCTATATGCTCTCACATCCTGGAATTTTATGTTCGAGCTCTGTTTTGCGATAGTGTAGTCAATGATCGATTTTTGTTGTCTGGTTTCATTTTTCCATGTGTACTTATGTATTTCTTTATGCTGGAAGTAACCGTTTAGGATTTTCAGGTTATTTTGTTGGCATATTGCTATGAGCCTTTCTCCATTATTATTTGTTACATTCTCTCCAAATTTTCCGACTACCTTGTCGTTGATTTTCGTTCCTGTTCGTCCGTTAAAGTCTCCCAGCAATATTATTTCCCTTGAAGTTCCTACTTTTATGATTTGGTCACTCAATTGTTGATAAAATAAGTCCTTTATATTAACGGGTTCGTCGTCGTTCACACCGTATATTCCCAAGATTGTTATTTTCCTACCGAACATACATACATTTAGTTTTATTATTGTTTCGTTCACTGCTTCCCATGATGTTATATGTTTTCTCCATTTTCTGTGTATGAAGATCGAGACTCCTTTCTTTGCTCTGAATTCTTTTTGAACCCCGCTGAAGAAATGATCGTAGGGGAAAGTGGGGCAACTTCGACATGCGAGGCAAGTTTGTCACCGCGCTTTACTAGGAATCGGTTGGATTCGGAAATTCCGAATCTAGCTTGAGGGTGCATGGTTTAAGTCTGGAGAAGGTAGCTACTCAATTTGTCGCATAAAACACAATTATCGAGTTTTTAAATTTCTGATCTAAGGATTGGCTATTACTTTAATAATAATTTCGTTCCGTCAGAGCGTTTTATTTCGCAAGTTAATTTTTACAGAGTGACTTTGACCCATCTTTTGTTTTGATAATAGGCGTTGAAGAAGACTCCTGTAAGATGTTTTCAAATATTTTACTAGAATCCGCGTGGGTGGGGCAACTTCGCCAATCGTTATTCCGGCACTGTCGAACTATTATTTTTGTTTCTAGGATGGTTAGAGATTATAAAAAAAACAATTTGATGTATACGAAGAAGAGCAGTTAATTTTTGCTGTGATTTAGGTAGAAAATAAAATTTAGGTATTTGTATCAGAATAATGCTGTCGAATTTGACATTGATGCAAAAAAAAATATTTTTCTCTTTGAATTTATACTATACGATATTGGTTTTAAATGCCTATTACCTACTAAAGAAATTTTATCACTATGTTTAGATAAAGTTGTGTTTATTTCTGTAAATACAAATCGTTTTTAAAATCTTGCGAACCTTAACATGTCAAAGTTGCCCCACTCTCCCCTACTCTCCAAGATTTTCTGAGCCCTGTCCTTTCTTTTTGGTCTCTGTGGCGTCATTGCATTCTGCTTGGAAAAGTACCTCCAGAAAGTTTATACAGAAATCAATTATTTTCATAAATAAAAAAGGAAGGTTTCACCCTATTGCTCAAAATCGAAAAACAAAAAACACCCTCTAGCGGCAAAACGGTTGAGGGTATCAAAAGGCGATTTGCAGTGTTTGCACCAATCAAGATATCATTAAATTTGAGCCTCAGCAGACTGGAGAGTTCATTTTTATGTATATGGCTCAAAAATTGACGTTTCAGATCAAAAGTGTCCAAATTGGACCACCCTGTATCTACAGTCTTTAACGTATAAGTAAAGTAAAAATAAATTTTCAAAAAATCATTGTTGATAATTATTAGCCTGCGCCCCCCCCCCTGAAGAAAATCCTGGATCCGTCACTGCATACAGGAAACTGTAATGTCAGCACAAAAATGGAGGACAAACCTGAACACACACGAAACTGTAATGTCGGTTTGTGTGGAATATTCCAGAAATTCTGGGTACAATATCCGAATGTGGCAAAACTTACACAATTCAGTCAATTAATGCACATTTACATACTAATAATGTCTCGCGTTCTATAGTTCATTGATCTACAGTCACAAAATTAGTCCAGAAAGTCATTGGTGTGGTGGTTCACTACAAAACCCCAGGCACACGTTGGGCACCAAATATGTAGCGGGTATCGAAGGGAACTCCAACACTATGCACTACAGATGTTTTTTAATGTTTTTATTTAACAATTTAACCGGAAAAAACATAGTCCGCAAAATAATAGCAATAATTACTGATAGTTGATAAATGAAGTGATAATGAACTTGACAATTTGATCGAGGAAACTGACTGACTGATTGATGACACTTGTCAGACATGGTAGTGGCTATAGCTACGGCAACGGTAGTGGCTATGGCTTCGCAAGTGTGACGTTACAATAGGTTAATTTTTCAATTAGGGCGAATTCTCATGAGCGTAAGTTGACATTTCTGGCGTAATCACGTGATAATATGGTGTAATTTGATTGGTAAAATCTCCAACATGTCAAATATTTTTCCAATAAAACCCAACCATTTTATCACGTGATTACGACAGAAATGTCAACTTACGCTCATGAGAATTCGCCCTTAGGCTCTCCAAACCACGTGATTTTTCAATATGGCGACCGTGGAAAATTTGACGTTTGTTTGTTTATCTTGAGTTTATTTGGAATATTTTCAAGCTAATTACAGTTTACTTTGTTATAATATACTTTTTGAGATGCAGAGTGAATATTTAAAGACTTGAATGCAGGAAAATCGGGATCTGGGCGAACGGTTAATTTAAAAAAATGTCCAGATCACATTTTGATTCACTGTTCACATTAATGAGCAAATGAAGGCCTACAAAAGCTTAGATTCTTACGAATATTTCGAAAATGGCTTTATTTCAGATGCAGCAACAGTGGTAG